GAATTCGCCAATGAATCTGACGATCGGAAGGTCCGATTACTCATAAGCAAACTCGGTGCCAAAGAACACGAGCGGTACAAGAACACTATCCTACCCAAGTACCCCAGAGACTTTTCATTTGACGAAACAGTCAAACAACTTTCAGACACATTTGGCCACACACAAGCTTTACCGTGATAGAAACACCGTTGCAGGAATTTAAAGAATGAATGAAGGCTCAACAGCGGTTTTGTGCACACTGAAACTGTTTACCTTCCTAGTCTTATCTCGATCGGATTGGTTGTTGATTGGACATCAGTATTCTTTATTCAATCATTTACACCATATTTCACACACAGTCGACGAGATCGAGCAGAGTTTATCCATATTGAAAATGTGTAATTAGATAGCGATATCTCATTCGGAAAACGAGTCGATGAGCTAACAGTTATTTTGGAATATTCATAATCATGCTCTTACATATTATATATTGGGAAAATGCTTTACAATGCAAGCCGTCGGTTCAAACGAAGGGTAGCAATCGGAGGCAGGATGTAAGGGTGTGGAAGAACATTTGGTGTGTTAGTTGATGCGACGTTTCGTCACCTGGGTGAGGGGACACGTAATGTTCAGTATTGGTCTTCACACTAAGCCAAAGCAATGAAGGCGCCCGAACCAGTCTTGGGAAGCCTTTGTTCCCTACTGTGAAAAGCTTATCCAATTTGTCACTCACTAACTGCGGTTCGCCGACTTCCCGCGTTGCGTATTGGTTGACTATTCCCCGAACCCGCCCGAACCAAGGGGGGGGGGTTCGCCACGGAAGGGGCTGTTTTGAACAAATCTTCACTCTCCACAATATTCTGGAACATCGCAACAAGTTCCAATAGTCTACCACAGCATGTTTCATTGAATTCCACGCTGCGTTTGACTCTGCCGATAGAGAATGCTTGTGGTGTACATTGCGGTCCGACGGGATAGACGAGAAATTCATCAAGCTTTCAAATTCATACTATTAAGGAACCCGGGCACGCACCCGTACCTATGGAGAAGAATCAACTGAGTTCATCCTAAGCTCTGAAGTCAGGCTAGGTCGTCCGGTATCGCCGGTGTTGTTCAATTACACCGTAGATTGGATAATGCGACAGCAGCTCGGCTCAGGTATATGGAATAATGACCTCAAGTATGCGGATGATGTCGTACTTTAAGACATCACGGACAACCTCTGGCCTGTTGTCAGACGTATAAACCAGCTTGCCCAGGCCATTGGGTTAGAGATCAACATGTTGAAAACGAAGACATTTTCGACCGGAACTTCGGCCATGATACCCCCTCTCGATTTACAGGGAGCTTGTCGAATCGACNGAATTTTTAAAGTATCTTGGCTCTACGATAGAACCAAACGGCCAGGCTGAGGATGAAATCCAACTCCGTGTAAATGGATCTAGAAGAGCCTTCCTAAAACTTCTCAAACAGTTATCGAATCGATGCGAAATAAGATTAAACATTAGGCTTCTGGTTTATCAGGCTTCCATTCGCCCCAGCCTCACTTATCGGTGTGCAACCTGGGAGCTAGGAGTACAAGATACAAGGAAACTCGAAGTTCTTAATCATTGGTGCTTACGTCACATCTTGAAAGTAAATTGGAGAGATTGGATTTCCAATGGTGAGGTTCGACAGCGGGACTTGAACATTGACATGCTTTCAAAAATGATACAACGCCGGCGCCTTCAGTGGTTTGGCCATGTGCTCCGAAGGCTCGACACCCAACTCTCGCGACAGGCTGTAGACACCCGCACCGTGTCGTGGATGGCGTTGCCAACTCGTTGGTCAGCTCAAGACCTGGAGTAGTACAATCAAGGCGGATTTGGAATTACGGGGTCTCCTATCCGTATGTGGAATTCGTAACTGGAACCAGAACTGGGTTTCACACTGCGTCAACCTTGCTACTGATCTTCATGCATGGGTCGCCATCATTAGAGAAGTCCAAGAAGCCGACTTATCCTCCCGCAGAAGTTAGCCGATCAAAGGACAAAAAGGTAAAGTATTCCCTAATGCAGCTGCCACTTCCATTTTACTAGCTATTGTTGCTCACCAGTTATCATGGTGTTCCTTGAGTTGACGTTGCAGACGACACCTACCCCTACCTTGATCCTGACGTATAATCGGAACCGACGGTTACAGACAGTGAGTGATATGGCTCGGTGTAGCAAACAGTGGCGTTCGTGCATCTCAATTTATTTTCAACCTTAGACCACTAATCTTCTCCATTTTCAAATTTCCTTTCTTTTCCTATTCTTCATCCAAATAGGCAGCCAAAACCGGCGCACGAATGTGCGCGGCTAATGAAACTGAAACTGATCCTGACGTGCGGAGGAAGAACCTCAAAGACAACCCCGGTGCATTTAAGTGGCCGATAGTACTAGGATCCTGGATTCGCGTCTCCGATACGCAGCAGACATCAATCTCAAAAGAGTCCATCGCACGCGCCAGATATGCTTGTTGACCTACCTGCATCAGAGTCTCACGATGAAGGTCCCCAGATTTAGTGGCTGACGAGGCTTCAGAATCTGTTATCTATTTTGTGGTAAACTACTTACCAGACTACTTGGCGAGGAACTTTGGCAAGTGACGAACAAGTTGTTTGAGGGAATGTTACAGGTTGGAAGAAGGAGTAAACGGAAAGGGTTGCGTACGAAAGACAATGAGTTAAACAAAGGTTGGGATGCCTTAGCAGTAGCTCACTTATCACTACCAACCCCGCTTGATGCAATGAACTGCGCAGTCTCGAATATCCTGTGTGACGACGGATGCAGGTTGGAATTATTTTGTTTATGTATGCATGTAGGGCTGCCAAGCAAACTCGGTACCAAAGAACACGAGCGGTACAAGAACACTATCCTACCCAAGTACCCCAGAGACTTTTCATTTGACGAAACGGTCAAACAACTTTCAGACACATTTGGCGACACACGAGCTTTACCGTGATAGAAACACGTTCAATGGAAGTTTCATCACCGTTGCAGGAATTTGAAGAATGAATGAAGGCTCAACAGCGGTTTTGTGCACACTGAAACTGTTTACCTAGTCTTATGAATCACGCAATGTTCGGTATTGTTCTTCACACTAGGCCAAAGCAATGGAGGCGCTCGAACCAGTCTTGGGAAGTCCGGTTAGAGCACAGTAAGCGAAGGCGGGATCGCCTCGAAGATGTTGAGTGTCCAAACTCACGCCACTTCCGATCAAGTGAATGCTATGCGATAGACAACACCGAAAGCTTTCTTCGATTTGACCTTGCATTTGGTGTCCACAAGATGACCCACAATCTCCCTTGAAATAGAGCCGGTCTGCCCCTGACTTAATCAACGCAAGTGATGCTCCTTGAAGCGTTGAAACAAACGCCTTACCGGGTGACCCACATAACATGCGCCCCTGATGCATTTAAAAGAAAAAATTATCATGGAGATTAGTTTCAGCTGTTTGTCTTTCACCTGCATTCGCATCATCGTTGATGTAGAGAGCACCGATCTAACTTTCGCTGCAGGGAAAGTGGAATTTACAGGTGCTCTGACTGACTGTACTAGACTATCTATTGTTCTTTATGGTGGCACAAGAAGAAAACTTGTCCCAAGTGAGAATAAAAGGGTCTTCACTTGAAGGCAGTTGCACATTGGCATACATACTAATAGGCTCATGGGAATATAGGGAACTGCAATTCTTTNAATGATTCCTCAACTTCAGAAATTTTAAAGGTACCATGCATCAGTTAAATATTTGGTAGCTATCAGACAGGGAAACGAACTAACGTGTATATCCTTCTCATGTGACAAAATGAAGGGATCTGATTGTTCGCAAGAGGGTAAAAAGTAGCCAATACACCGACATGAAGAGGACTATTTGTGAAGAATCGACTACAGAGCGAACATACTAAAACTCCTCGTTAGTATCACTCAAAAGGGGGAATGGTCGGGTTGTTAGATAATCCCCCAACTAGACAATGATACAGTGTCGAATGGAACTCACCAAATAGACATCACAGAACTCGTAGAGCCAAAAGTTGTAACAGGCGGTGGTCGCCATCGAGAAGTGGAATTGTTCGAATCCATTGTAGCACCGCTGAACAGCGTTGGCCAGACGAGACAAGATCCATCGGTCTGTGCCGCTGATTAACGGATGAGCACGCGCTGTACTCAGTGCTTCTTCAAGCGAAACAATCACTGGTGGTTGAAATTCCGTCCCAAGGCAATGATACAGGGCATACCTAAATACGAGTGTTGTAAGTAGGAAGAGGACAGCATAGCAATGAGCCGAAGTATGTTCGTAGACCTCTCAAGGTATATGGATATCAGGTACAGGCGATATTAGCAAGCATAGTAGTATTCAACTTGAGCAATCCTCACGTAATTTGGAACACCTATCATACAGTATGAAATCCTCAATCGTGGCGTCGCTCAAACACGGCGCTTTGATGCCTGAAAATTTCGATGGTTACGGATTTATGAATGATGGAAAATAAACGGAGTGGACTCTAAGAACCATAGGGGAGGTATAGGTAGATCATGGGATACAAAGACCTACAACCTCGGACGTAAAATAACTGACTTCATAAAACCTCAAACAATAGACAAGGAACTGGATCGGACGACAGTTATAGACGGCAAACTCTTTAATTTTCGAATTCTTCGTATTATTGAGTATGGATATTATATGTCAAGTTGCATTGCATATCATCTGTCACACTAATTTGCTCACTTCAATTGTGGACTATATAAGCTTACTGTAAGTTGAGTAAGGCGCATACTTCTGTCTCCTCAAATCGCGTTACCTATGTGCACAATCACGGAATTATCTGCCCCTTAACACAACCTACTCACATAAAGACCATCATCTGCCCCAGTGGTTCAATATCGAATAAAATTCAACTGGTTCAACAACAACAACAACACTTATTACAACCACAACAAACGAAGTTAAAGGTGCCATACATTCAATATTTGTTTGAACGATATAGAAGCCTCAAAGCTTGCCCAGCTCAAGACTCTTAACCCATTATTTATCTCTAGTTTGTGCTACCTTGGTCTCTGAATAAGACGTTGAGATTAATGCTCCCTTTATCTATTTCAACATCACAAGAAGACGTCAACAGAGTTGATATTGGTCATCAATTTTGGGTGCGCAAATTCAGCTGTAAACGCACACTTATACCATTATGCTGAATAAAGAAACATGAGAGTTAAAATTAGTCATTTGAACAAGGTGGTGGACAAGTAAGTTGTATGAATTGGGTTTGGTCAAGGTCAAGTTAGGTGACAAAACTCGATAATACATGAAAATGAACTGGTTCTAACAAAATGGTGAATGTGGTGGGCAAGGAGAGAGGAAGAATGTCATACAATATGGTATCTGGCATGAGGTTATTTCTCGAATGCTTTTGAACACATTATTGCAAATTCAAACGACGAATTACCATCACTTTACAAAATGTTAAATTTCGTGTTTCGAGGTCTCGTAAGGACTGGGAAATCTTTTAGCGACCAGAATATAACAAATGCCGTGCCACTGCGCTCGATGGCAGTCGCTTGAGTTTCAGGACAGATTTGCACATTTTGGTTGATGAATGATGATGATGATGCTTTGTCCTTCCGACATACCTATGACCGCAGGTACATTAAATGAATAAATAAAGTTGGAGGTAGCATTACCGTCTTTTCGATCCCGATCAGAGCGGTGGCACAACCAAATGTGCAGCAGGGAACGGGACGAGAAGCCAAACATCAGGAGTTATAAACGGGTCAGTAAACCACCAGCAGTTCACCTAGGGGTGATTCTCAATCAACCAAGAAGAGACGTACGAACCACCCACACCTTTCCGGTCTTGGCAATGGTCGCTGGCTCGATTGAGCAAGGGCATTTGAATACAGAATTACGGCCTAGCAAATTCGACTACTCCATCCAAACTTCAGCTTGACGTTGCTCCAAATCGATCACCTGATCTGGCTTGGACCAAGGAGAAACGGAACTCGCGACCATGGAAGGGAACACAGGGCTTATATAAACAGTCACTTCCATGTGTTCGGGTTTCTATTATTTATGACGCTGGCAACTTACATGCTTTAGGCTTGTTGGCGAAATACGTACATTTTCCGCCACAAAATGGATTTCATAAAAAGTTTAGAACGTAGATGAGTATATGAATCAGGTGAATGGGCACAAAATGTATTAGAGGTCTGATAGTACCGTTCATAGCAATCGTTCACATCACCTCATTTATTCGTAAAACTATAAAGGGGCTCTAGGTCGCAAAACATTCCAGTGGATTCGTAGTCATGATTTCTTAGTGCTTTCAATTTGGCTTCCGAAGGTGAACTTTGAGAAACGAATAGAAAAACAAATTTTAAGTGATATTAAATCAAGGAACATAAACTGTCAATAATAAATAACTGGTCAAACAAAACCCATACTCCACGCTTTTTCATCAGAATTATGTAGAATATAAAACAGTTGAGAACAACCTTGCTTCATAATTGTACCATCAACCACGTACAATTAGAAGTGTTTTTACGCAGACGGTAAACATGAGACCAGTTGCGATCGTAGGCGAGACGTTCCTTATCCGGCAAACACTCTGCAAATACCTTAAAGACAAACTGGCCGATGCCCATTGTTCATAGTGAGAAAACCTATTTACTCGCACGCTTGACAAGGTGCGTGCACAGTAGAACGCAGCAGTTTTCACAAAGAACTAAAGAACAATTTTATCATGACAGGAGAGAAACGGGACTCACCGAACAGCATTCCACAATTTGTTACAGAAAAATCGGCAGCCTTGAACGCGCAAAATGTCAAGATTGATGTTTCTGCCCTGTTTGGTGTAGGAACACAGGGCGAATCGAAGTGCGTCCGTGCCACATTCAGGAATACCTTTGGGGAAATCTTTGGCCTGTGCATCACGCGCGCGTTTGAGTTCCCGCGGATCCAAATTGCCATGTTCTAATTGCGATTGCAATTCTACAGAAAATAATAAGTTATGGGATCAGCAATGCACTTTGAAACAGCCTTGAACCTTTTCAATTTCAAATGAATTCACAATTGCATTAAACACTGTACTGATGATGTTGCCTAGCCTGGCGAAGAAATCTCTGCGAACAACAAGTCCAGGTCGAAGAGCACACCGACACCAGAGATATTTACCGATATTTGCCAAATAACAAGGACAAGGTGTAGAACTAGCAGCTCCAATGACAGGTCATGCGTGTTTGCTTTCGATTGAAATATACGCTTTGCTATGGCATTAAGACACAAAAATATACGTTTTCTTGTGGTATCAAGATGCCGCCTCCACAGATATGCTTTTTCAAATAATCTGGACAACACAACTACAAACCTTTATTCAAAAATTACATGATTGGTGGTGGGGTTAATTCCAACTAACGTACTTCTCATCGATTCGGTTTATATTGTCACAATGCTCCCAAACGATTTTTGTTTTTACTACTTTTTTATTACACACATCTTTTGCGTGGTGAACAGCAGACGGGGCGGACCTCATAGTCACGAAAACCTACTGTTCCGTCATGGAAACCGGTAACCCAAGCCCCGGGACTTGGAGTGGCGAACCACATAAGACCTCCCCAGGTAAGGCGTGGCATTGAACCGGACGATAGCAAGCTGCCTACTACCAAAGGTGGGTGGCGGGGATCGAACCTCGGACTATGGGTTTCGAAGCACGCCAGTGACAGCGATTAAACCATTGCGTATTCACTACTGTCTAACGTACCATGTAGCAGTTCCCAATTTTTTGAATTCCCGAGGGGTCCGACGTAGCAGGAAATTGACTGTTCGAAATACAGCTAAAGCAACTCGAGGGAGATACGCGACCATCGAGTGCATAACTGAAACCCGCCAACTTAGCAGTTGCATAATACGTCTCCCTCGATAAAACTAGTCACTATTTCCGCAGCTTGAATAGCTCGTTTGGGACTCCTGTGCTTGAGATGACTGCCTCCAACATTTCATTCTCTGAATATCAAAAGACATCTCAATGTGATTAAGCAAAACAATATACGACAAAATCCAAACTTTTACGTCAGCGATGGGACACAAGAGATTTTAATATTCCATTACGCAAAATCCATAAGAAAAGAAACACTTACTGCAACCTACTCATTTAGCGCCATCAACAACATAACAAATAAAAAATTACTGGAATTTGCTGAGACTCTGGCCATTCACAAACACGAATCCGATTTGTGAAACAAAGTAAATGGTTGGCACTATCTTGGTGATTAGCCCCCCCCGCCCCTTCCATTCTGCCTGTTATAAATAGTCATTTTGTTTATCTCGCGCNTCTCGCGCTCGTTATTGGACTGCAGTACACACGTGTACAGATGTAGAGTAATGATTACTGATGAATTGTGTAAACCGATGTTTGTGTCTTCTTTATTTCAATATGTTCACTCCTGTGTCATCCAAATGGGCAGCCTAAAGACAGCAACCAACCCCCCCCCACAAGGTTTATGGTTGTGAACTAATCCCAAATTCCCTCAAGGAAACCACTTTAATGAAGCGGACGAGAGATAAACTATGTTGAAGCCCGTGACCCGATTCGAGTCAAAATGTTAACTAACCCCATTGATACGCTGAAGAACTAGTATCAACGGAGAAATGTGTATGGCAAACTGCTGGTCGGAAAATCAAAACAAGATCTGATTAACCTAACAAACAGTTCTGCGTTATTCCACGGATAGATACACCATCAATCAGAGTGTTAATTAAACTGCCTCGCTAGAAAGAAAAGCGACTAATCTATGCACTACAAACCTGTATTGTGAAGTCAACATCTATTTTCACCAGCTTTGTTATTAATGTGAACTGTTGGATATCTGACATAATGAAAACATAAAAAATGCAGTCATTATTTACTTCAAGCACTCAGTAGCCCACATACAAAACGTGGCCTACTATGGACTAATTCCCTTTCATGAAAGATGATCTGACTTGGCTGTTTAAAAGCGACGATTATGAGCGATTTTACTAAACCGCAAGACCGATCGTACTGTACACGCGCTCCCCTTTCACACGAGCCATCACAAATAATCCCAACCAAATCTAACCCACCCAAAACACAGGCAGTATTTGTCAGAGCGGAGCGGCAACGTCGACTGCATATGTTTGAATATGGTCCACGTTCGTTACACAAGCTTGGAACACAACCAGGTCAAAGGTCACCAGCTTTCCTTAATCTCACGTCTCAACACAAGCTTTACTGTGATACAAACACGNGGAAGTTTCATCACCGTTGCAGGAATTTGAGGAATGAATCAAGGCTCAACAGCGGTTTCGTGCACACTGAAACTGTTTACCTAGTCTTATGAATCACGTAATGTTCGGTATTGGTCTTCACACTAGGCCAAAGCAATGGAGGCGCTCGAACCAGTCTTGGGAAGTCCGGTTAGAGCACAGTAAGCGAAGGCGGGATCACCTCGACGATGTTGAGTGTCCAAACTCACGCCACTTCCGATCGATTGAATGCTATGCGATGGACAACACCGAAAGCTTTCTCCGATTCGACCTTGCATTTGTTGTCCACAAGATGACCCACAATCTCCCTTGAAATAGAGCCGGTCTGCCCCTGACTTAATCAACGCAAGTGATGCTCCTTGAAGCGTTGAAACAAACGCCTTACCGGGTGACCTACATAACATGCGCCCCTGATGCATTTAAAGAAAAAATTATCATGGAGATTAGTTTCAGCTGTTTGTCTTTCACCTGCATTCGCATCATCGTTGGTGTAGAGAGCACCGATCTAATTTTCGCTGCAGGGAAAGTGGAATTTACAGGTGCTCTGACTGACTGTACTAGACTGTCTATTGTTCTTCATGGTGGCACAAGAAGAAAACTTGTCCCAAGTGAGAAAAAAAGGGTCTTCACTTGAAGGCAGTTGCACATTGGCATACATACTAATAGGCTCATGGGAATATAGGGAACTGCAATTCTTTGTTACCCTAGGACCGTCAGTTCTTTGAAACCTGCCTAAAGCATGGAGTCACAGATGCTCAGTTGGAAAGAAAAAAGGGTCAAATTGTGATTAATACCCCCTCACAATCAACGACAGAGAATCGTGCACTGGGACATACCAAAACATTCCTTGCAGAAAGACGAGGAAGGTGATTTCATTGCATTAGCTTCCGTATCAATTACAGTGAGCCAAGAGCCGAGGCGTCTAAACACATTGATAAAAGGAAGTGATGGTCAAGAATACTCAACCTCAACGCATCGAATAAAATACATCACTAGTGGCAGGATACCAGAATGGGAGCAATCGCGTCCAATCTAACCTCTGAGAGTCCCAGTACGGTCGGGAGTGGGTGTTTCGGGTTGTGGCTGGTTACCGCGACTTACACATCGCGAAATGCTCTTACACGACCAAATGTCTCGAATACCTTATACTGAGAAGGTCCTACTCTCTGACTACTCGTGGCGGTGTTTTGGCACCAAATAAAGACGATGAAGAGCAAACATCTGAGGCTATAACCACATCGAGGAAACACTGGTAGTTTACCTCGGAAAATTGGTTAATGCCCCTTATTTATAAAAAACCAGGAGGAGGAGTACAGACCACATGTTTGAAGCTTGTGAAAAATGACATTGATGATTTCCAAACTTATGCAATCCTTGTTAATCGGGAATGTGAGAGCTTCAAATTGCGCTCAGTGACCGAAGACCAATTCAAATGCCTCATATTCGTGTGTGGGCTTCAGTCATCCAGAGACGCTGAAATCAGAACCCGGCTCCTGAACACCATCGAACAGGATCCAAACGCCAACCTGCGAACGTTAACCGCCGAGTGCCAGAGAATTCTGAACCTCAAACAAGACTCTGCCCTCGTCCAGGATATCGAGCACACTGCCAGAAATGTACACACGGTATCTTTCAGCAAGTTCCCGGAT